GCAAACTCCTTTCTCGGGATTCAAATCACCAAAGACACGGACAAATATTTTCTATCCCAAGCACTCTATGCGAACTCCATTTTGCAGGTAGCTCAACTCACAAAGTGCAACCCCTCTATCCAATTCGACCTGCACCAAGTTGCCGAAAGAAATTCTTCCCGATCCGATTCTCAATGATCCAACTATGTACCGAAAAATAACCGGATCACTTCAGTATTTGTGCCTCACACGACCGGACATTCCATATAGCGTCAATCTTCTCTCTCAACACATGCATCAACCAATGCCTGAGCACGCCTATCCCTTAAAGCGACTACTACGTTATATCAAAGGTACGACCGACTACGGAATACCTATAACCAAATCTAATTTATCTCTCACGTCTTTTTCAGATGCCGATTGGGCAAGCGATCCCATTTCAAGAAAATCAACGTCAGGCTACTGCTCGTTCTTAGGAGACACACTAATCTCGTGGACTGTCAAGAAGCAAACTACGGTAGCTCGGTCATCCACTAAATCTGAGTATAGGGCGCTAGCAGCTCTAACGGCTCATGACATTGTGTGGCTTCATCGTCTTTTACTGGATTTCGGAATCACACAAGACAAACCCACTGATCTCTTTTGCGACAATACATCAGCTATAGCCCTAGCAAACAATCCAGTGTTTCATGCCAGGACAAAACACATCGAAATAGACCACCGGTTCGTTCGGGATCACATTCAACAACAACATATCCGAATTCTACCCATTAGCACTATTGATCAGATCGCCGATATACTAACAAAATCACTATCCACAGCGCGGTTCCAACTACTCAGGAACAAACTGATTGTCCACAAAACACCTTTAGTTTGCGGGGAGTATTAGAGCAATAAAGCAACATGTATTCTGACTAGTGTGTATCTCTATATGTAGCCAAATATGTTACTGCTATGCCTAAACTCTACATATATTAGCTTGTACTATTCCGGTGAATAATAATAAGATATAATCTCTCTTTC